AGACTTCTCCTAGTATTGAATTTCATCTCAATTCAATTGCTCCTCAATGTCTTCTTTTAATTGGTCCCCATTTTGAAACTGCATCCCATACTACAATCTCAATTGGCTCCCAATTTCAATTTCAATTTTACATTGGCTCCCAACTTGAATTGATTTTAATTGGTCCCCCATTTTGAAATGGCATCCCATACTACAATCTCAATTGGCTCCCAATTTCAATTTCAATTTTACATTGGCTCCCAACTTGAATTGATTTTAATTGGTCCCCATTTTGAAACTGATTCTCTCAATTGGCTCCCAATTTCAATTTTACATTGGCTCCCAGAATTGATTCCCTGTCTTCTTTTAATTGAAACTGCATCCCATACTACAATCTCAATTGGCTCCCAATTTCAATCCCAACTGCATCCCATACTACAATCTCAATTGGCTCCCAATTTCAATTATTGATTTTAATCCCAATTTCAATCCCAATTTCAATTATTGATTTTTTTTAATGCTATTAGCTCTATTAAGGTCCCCAATTTCAATTATTGATTTTAATCCCAATTTCAATCCCAATTTCAATTATTGATTTTTTTTAATGCTATTAGCTCTATTAAGGTCCCCATTTTGAAACTGCATCCCATACTACAATCTCAATTGGCTCCCAATTTCAATCCCAATTTCAATTATTGATTTTAATCCCAATTTCAATTATTGATTTTTTTTATTGATTTTTTTTAATGCTATTAGCTCTATTAAGGTCCCCATTTTGAAACTGCATCCCATACTACAATCTCAATTGGCTCCCAATTTCAATTATTGATTTTAATTGGTCCCCATTGGTCCCCATTTTGAAACTGCATCCCCATCCCATACTACAATCTCCCCATTTTGATCCCAATTTCCCATCCCTTTTGAATGCTACTGGCTCTATTAATTGGCTCCCAATTTCAATTATTGATTTTAATTGGTCTCCATTTTGATTTTAATTGGTCTCCATTTTGAAATGGCATCCCATACTACAATCTCCACATTTTACAATCTCAATTGGCTCCCACTTGCTCTTCACTGCTCCCAACTTGAATTGATTCCCTTGTGAAACTAACTAGCTCCCATTTCCAATTTCTCTGACCTTGTAAAATTGTTGATGGTGAGTTTTGAACTTGAGCCATTTCATATAACATATCAAACATCTTCCACTTCATCCATACAGCTTATTGGTTAAATCTCCAATCATCTTTGATGTACTCCTTTCTTTCCATAGATGCTTGATCTCTAAGTCAAATTCATGCAATTTTCCAATCTTAATTTTCTTTCACGAAAATTCTTCTGGGATATTTCTTTGAGTAGTAGCGACTTGATTTCATATCATTCATCTTCTTCTTCTGTTTGTCATTTTCTCCAGACAAATTCTTGATTTTAGGCTTTATATCTTCTTCTTCTTCTTCTATTTTCATGCATCTTCCTCTGTGTTTCTCTTTTCCAATCTTAAATAATTTCCCGATCATGTTCTAAGACTCTACTAGACCTATAGAAATAAAATTGGGGGATCTACAAATACATATTTGGCATATCAAAACCATTACACTTTATTCCTAACAATGGCCAAGTATTCTACAGGAAGCTTTTGTATCTTACGTAATAGGGGTGATTTCTCTACAGTCAAGTATTCCTTTAAAGTAGTCATCTGGACAAAAATCAAACTAGTGTCATAATGATTTATAGCAAATGTATAACAAATGATTAGAAGTTCAAGTTTATTGTTAAGTTACCAGTAGACTGGGGCAATTTTGATATTTGTCAATTTCTGTAACACCAGTAGGCAGGGATTTGTTGTCTATGATTTCAACATTTTTTGCAATGGTGTTAATGCACACAACAAAGTAGTGTCCGTGTCGAAGCACGGGGAAAAATATCTAATGTCAAAAGAAGAAGAAGTTAGAATAGAGAAAAAAAAATGCCATTAATAAATAAAAGTTGAACATGGGTAATTATAGATTACCAAATCAGCATCATTGATGTCAAGATTTCCAAATTTGGCAATTTCATATTGTAACCGCTCATTGAAATTTTCCTTCCGCTTTTGAAGTGGAAGATCCTTCATCCATTGTTCAGTCGGGTCAAGTTAGCTAAGGAGAAAAAAACACGTATTAATGATAAGTTGTACAGAATTATAGAGTCATACATTCATAGTTCCAAATTGTAAAATTTTTTGGTTTGAACTTACATGTACTAATGTGCTAAAATAAATGCATTTTGGCTTCCCCAATGCGCGTTTTGTGTTGAGGAATGTAAGCCTCAACGCCCATACATCAATGAAGGTGCTAAAAATTTCATCGGTGCTTAGTGTGTGGAAATCTCCCTGTGTCATAGAGAAATCATCAAAGCTAAATAGCGTTTCACTACAACACCAAAAAAGTTAGATAAATAAGTAAACAAATTAATACATGTTTATAAATGTTAAATATTCATGGTAATAAAAAGTTTATTAAATAGTCAGATTCAAACATACTCTATTGGATGATTTGGAGAAGCATCCATGAAGGCATAGTTTGATATGGCCTTCTCTGTGACACTAGCATTATGAAAAAATGGTGCATTTTTTATCCAGAAAGGTGACCTCAAATTCAGTGGGATGTTTTTAAATTTTCTGATTGGCCTCTTTCGGATAGTGACATCTTCAACATCGGATTCGCTATCCAGAAATGCACTGTGTGTTTACACAAAATGCATGAAGCTAGTTAACATTATCATAATTGCATAATCTCATATCAGAAAATTCATAATTGGATAACTGTAAATACATAATTGCATAACAGAAAATACATAATTGCATAACAGAAAATTCATAATCTCAAAACTGTAATTTCATAAACTCACAATAGAAAATTCATAATATCATATGAGAAAATTCATAATCTCACAGAAGAAAATTCATAATCTCATATCAGAAAGGTCATAAGAGAAACAGAGTATTAATAACAGTTGTGACATTATGGACATTCAAAGCTGCATAGATAGTGAATAATATAATAACAGAAATGAGTTTGATGGAAATATATTCTTTATTTAAGTAGAGGGGGGATGGGGAATGCCAAATAAATCCAACCATGCTCTACAGAAGAAGAATATATTGTCGATCAATAACAATTACACATAATTCATAATCTCATAACATAAAATTCATAATCTCATACAGAAAATTCATAATTGCATAACAGAAAAATCATAATCTCAAAACTGTAAATTCATAATAGAAAATTCATAATATCATATAAGAAAATTCATAATTCTTAATAACATAACATAAAATTCACAATTTCGTAACTGCATTAGTTTACCTATCAACATCATCAAGGTCAGCAGCAGGTGTAGCAGCATCAGCAGCACCAGGGACATCTTTGGAGAATGGCACCCTAATCAATGGAGTTCTTTCTTGGTTTTCAGATGTTGAAGCAGCAGGAGTATCTTCCACAATGTTTTGAACGAGGGCATCCAATTGCTGTTCATCCAACGTGCACTGCTCTTGTGGTTATTCAACCAATGGTGCCGGGGTATAAGAAATTCCCAAATCAAATGATGTAGGTTCAAAGTCCATTTGCCTGTTGGTCTTTTGAAATGCTTCAACCAAAGCATCAACTGCCTCTGTGAAAGACTCCTGGCCAAAGAAGATGTCATCAAGTTGAGAGGAGGTTGGGGTTGGTGGTCTGTCCATCGTACTAGCCACGGTAATCATGGTAGAAATGTCATAAAAGGCGTTCTTCATAACCTCCACAGGTGCATTTTGTTTGACAACTTCAGCCATTGCCTCTCCAAACTCCAAGACATCAGCAGTAAGCCGCCGTAGCACTTGTGTAACTCTGTCAACACTGGATGGTGGCACAGAGACTTTTGGGACCAGCCGCCGTAGCACTTGTGTAACTCTGTCAACACTGGATGGTGGCACAGAGACTTTTGGGACCGTCTGATGAGCATCAGGAGCAGTAGGTTGGTTTGAAGTAGAAGCAATAGCGTGAGTGGTACAATCAGCAGTAGGCTTTGCAACACGCGAGATAACTTTCCCTTTCCCATATCTACCTGACCTTCTTTCTGCAGAAACTCTTTGTCCTGCAAGCTTTTTTGTCCATGCGGTTATGCTTGGGTATGTTCTCTCAACTCTCATCCCTTTGAATTGGACCCGATCAAAGTAGAATAGCTACAATTTTCAATAAAAAGGAAAAAAAAAAGTTATAATCATAATTCTATAACTGTAAATTCATAATCTCCTAACACAAAATTCATAATTAAATAACAGAAAATTCATAATATCATAGTAGAAAATTCATAAATCCATATGAACACTATATTCATAATATCATAACTGAAAATTCATAATATCTTAGTAGAAAATTCATAAATCCATAAATGCAAATTCATAATAGCATGATAGAAAATTCATAATCTGTTAATAGAAAATTCATAATCTGTTAACAGAAAATTCATAATCTGTTAACAGAAAATGCATAATCTCATAATCTCAATAACCCTATGTTTACAATTTCAGAATTATATATGTGTAATATTATAACATTGTGTTGAAAGTCAGATAATCACACAAAGACAATGAATTCAATAAAGACGTTTGATGTATAACTAGAATTTACCAGTATGAATGTCATCGGTCCAGTAAAAAAGCCTTTACTTTTTTTCTTGTACTTCTCAATGGACTTGATAAGAGAGTTGTAGGTGTAGCTACACCAGTTGTATTCCTTTATTTCATGAACATTAACCAAGGAGTTGAGTATTCTATGGTTGCAGCTGCGTGTCTGAAACCCTCGCATCATGCATGAAACAGTCAAGACCATGAAGTCCCCTTTAAATTCATCACCATAATCTCCTTTGTTAACAATCACATCCCCCATTTTGGTTGTGATTGGGGAACCAATTGTAATATTCCACCTTGTCCTCCATCTTTGTAACAGAGCTCTGTACTCTGGTCTTCCTTGTTCGTCATACTTTGGGCTCTCAACAACCACCTTTTCTCCCCGTGGATTGCCAAGAGTGTACTCTATGTCCTCTTCTTCAACAGTGAGCTTATCATTCTCCAATTTGAAATGTGTTTGGTAAAGCTCAAAGTTGTTAAGCAGATACTGCACTAAGTGACTCATTCATGCACAACTGAAGATTCAACAGGGATCCAAATCCAATATCATGCACATCTTGTTTTTGTTCTGGCGTTAGTTTCTGTACAAGCTTGAACATGGTCTTTGGCCCCATTCGCGTGCTGAAGTAGGGAGTAACACTCCCTTCCGCATCATTATCTTCCTGTTCACCTTCCTTCGCATCATTATCTGGGACAATGGCTGCTTTGCCCTTTTGCTTATCATTTTTTTTTTGATCTTTTCTCTCTTATTACTTCATTATGGAGCAGCTCCTCAAGCTGCTGTTGGGATAGTTCAGCTGATTGCGAATCCAGTATGGCGCGTGTTGTTTTTTGTCTCTTGGTTTTTGTTTTAGATTTGACCACAGTGTTCTGTTCCTCGCGCGGTGGTTGTGAGGGTTGTGATGCCTCCGCAGCTTGAGAGCTCAAGATTGCCCTTGTTTGTGCACGTGTTCTTTTGCGCGGAGCAGAGTCCATTGCTGTTATTAAAAACATTAGAAAGCAATTAATTCATATACAACATATAATATAGCAAAAACTGACATGAGTTTGATGGAAATATATTCTTTATTTCAGTAGAGGGGGGATGGGGAATGCCGAATAAATCCAGTCATGCTCTACAGAAAAGAATATATTGTCCATCAATAACAGTCACACATAATTCATAATATCATAACATAAAATTCATAATCTCACACAGAAAATACATAATTGCATAACAGAAAATTCATAATCTCAAAACTGTAATTTTATAAACTCACAATAGAAAATTCATAATCTCACACAGAAAATACATAATCCCATATCAGAAAGTTCATAATCTCAAAACTATAATTTCATAAACACACAATAGAAAATACATAATCTTATATGAGAAAATTCATAATCTCACACAGAAAATACATAATTGCATAACAGAAAATTCATAAGAGAAACAGAGTATCAATAACAGTTGTGACATTATGGACATTCAAAGTTGCATATATAGTGAATAAACAGCAGTAAAAACAATCTAAGAATCAATTTCATAATGTTATAACTATACATACATAATCTTAAAACCATATATTCACAAACTAAAAATCAATCATAGAGTTTCATATTCATAATGGTTAATCTACATATACACAATGTTACAGATATACATTCATAAGTTCATAACACTACATTCAAAACCCCATTTATAAATTTCAAAATTTGTATAGAATACAAAAACCCTAAATTATAAACACATCAGGTACATAATACCTGTAAGATAAGTGAAGCAACTTTTGAGAATGAGTGATGGAGAGATTGTCTCTTTTGATAACGACGTAAGACGCGAAGTGTTGTTCGAGGAATGCGAGAATGGGGAAATGGAGTTCGAGAGTAGAGAGAATGAGTGTTGAACAGAGACTTCGAGAATGATCGGAGGAAATTGCGATTGCGAAGATGCAGAGAGAGCAGAGAGCAGAGAGAATGGTGGAAGAAGGTTGCATGAAGAAGAAGTGAAACCGGGAGTGAGAAAATGGAAAGCTATAATCGCGCGTTTAATTTTTTAAAAAAAAAAAACGTGATTGGTGGGAGATAACGGTGCCACTAACGGGCACCGTTACTCCCACACTAATAAAACGTCGTCGTATTGAACCGTGTTCACCATCCATGGTGAACACGGTGATGGTGAACACGGTTCCATGGCATAACAATTGGCAGAAGTGTCAAATAGGCCTATCTACTACTGCGAAGTGCTTAATTCCCACCACGAACTAAATTATGTGTCAAATAGGCCCATCTACCAACTAAATTTGTTCGATTGGCTTTTTTTGCAGGTTTCTAACCGGTTGCCTTTTTTTTTTTTTTTTGTTGGTTTGTTTGTTTGTTGAAATCATTAATATTCTTATCCTACATAGACTACTAATATGATAGAGCTGCAAAATTGATACCATTTTGAATTCCACAAGGCAATCCACTTATAACGAAAATAAACCACAAGTTCATATCATAAATGTTCAGATTCCAAAACTGCAAAATGAGTGAAAGAAGAACCTTAGGCGGTGAGAAGAACAGCGCGAACGGCCTCCTTGATCTTCAATCTTCGAAACGAGCTTAGCCTTTACCACAACGGGCTGATTGCTAGGAAGCACGCCCTTCCCCAGAACCTTGAAAAACCCTGCGTATTTCACACACAGCCATACGAGGACAGCCGGAACATGAGGTCTAGATATGGACCTCAAACTGGCCGCCGCCTTCGTTCCAAACGGCCATGGACAGCCTTGCTGAATAGCCGATGGCTGAAATTTTTATTTTTTATTTTTTATTATATATATTTTTAATAATTAAATAGGCAACTGGTTAGCAATGCAATAAAAGCCAAATCAAACAGGCAAATTATTGTCCACACAATGTTACATGAACTATTACAAAAAATACATTTTTAATATATTAAATGTATATTATTTTTGTACTGAATGTACATTATACAATATAACGTACAATCAGTACAAAAATAATGTGCATCCCCTTAATACAATATACATTATTTTTGTACTGAATGTACATTATTTTTGTATTGAATGTACATTATTTTACAGTATACAAAATATGGTCCACACAATAATGATTGAATAAAACAAATTTAGCTGGTAGATGGGCCTGACACTTAATTTAGTTCGTAGTGAGAATTGAGCACTTCGCAGTAGTAGATGAGCCTATTTGACACTTCCGCCTTTAGAAAAAGATCAAATAATATTCAAACACTCAAACAAGTTTCATAGACTTAAACACTTTAAAAAGTGTAATTAAAAGTGTAATTGAGTCCTAATCTTACTTATTAATTGTTGATGATGACATGAACCGGGCTTTCTTGACAAAAATTGAATGGCGCATAATCAAGGATAAAGGATCTATTTGGGCAAGGGTGCTGACAGATAAATATATGCATGGGAAAGCCAATATTCATGAGATTAATTGGCACAAAGTTGGTTCAAATCTATGGAAAGGAGTTTGTGAAGCTAAAGGAATTCTACTACATGGAAGTGCCCGCAAGACGTGGAAGCCTTGTCTATGTGGAGAGTGAAGATGAAAACGAAGGAGACCAAAATGGTGACATCTATTGGAGCTTGGAGAGTAATGGCATTTTCTCAGTCTCGTCTGTGTATAAAACAACATGCACCGCCAAGTTGGATATAGCCAATGATAAATGGGAGGATGTTTGGAAGCTTAAAGTTCCAAACAAAATCGCCATGTTCATTTGGACTCTCAAACACAAGAAAATTATGACAAACTTGGAGAGAAACTAACGAGGCTTCACCATGGATCCACGATGCCCGAGCTACAACAGCCAGAGAGAGGACGCGGATCACTGCGTACGTTATTGCAAGGAGGTTGCGGATATTTGGGAAGTATTATTTCCCCACCGGGCCAAGTTTGAATTTTTTTCAAAATATTTTCATAGTTGGCTAACGAGTAATGTGGCAGGTAAAGTAAATGGAACGAAAGTGGAGAGTTGTGGAGAAACCTTTGCATACACAGTATGGTGGATCTGGAGATGGTGCTGCAACAAAGTGTTTGGCAAGGAATCATGGGATTAGAAAATGAAGGTCAAGTGGATCCAAGACCAAAATAGAGAAGCAAACTAAGGATTTTACGTTATTTGAACCAAGTAATTGAGTGAATCAACAATGGTCATCTCCTGCAAGGCCCTTGTGCGAGTTTAGTAAAAGAATGCAAAGCCTAGCTTCAAAAGGAATAGGAAATCACATGTGAGTACACCCCTCGCGGGGAGAAATGTGTTAAGCTTGCAAAGGAAACTGTCAAAAACCGATGCGAATGGATGGATTACTTCAAGCCCCCGGAGAGCATCTTAGACTACCTGGAGGTTGGGAGAGCTCATACGTTGTTTAACAAATTAAACAATAGTTTGTTCATTGGGTATCCCCTCCCTCTCACCCAAAAAAAATGGTTGACGATGACAAATTTTCCATGTAAACTTTTATTCAAATATGGCATTCATTTGATATATCAATTTAATTTTTTTTATTATAAATTTTTTTAAAGAGAATATATATATATATATATATATATATATATATATATATATATATATATATATATATATATATATATATATATATATATATATGTGTGTGTGTGTGTGCGTGTGTGTGTGCGTGTGTGTGTGTGTGTGTGTGTGTGTGTGTGTGAAAATATAATTTAATATACCTCTTTGGAGTAGCATTGATCTATATACTCATCATGTTCAACTGTGTCATGTATAGCACATAGTGCATGGAGAGTTGGAGACTAGGGAGAGTTTTTTGCTCTGTCCCCCGGTTTATTTCTGCATTTTGTGTTTGAACTTTCACTATCTTAATATATTGAGGTTGGTTTTTTTGATCAAAAAAAAAAATTAAATCCCAAGATTTGTACGAACAACTCCTAGCTTGTAATTTTACTATAAATTGTTATTGGTAGGGAATATCCCGACCGACATAATTTTACCCCGACTGGTGTGCCTTTGTCTTTTTCTTCTTCTCTTTGCAGGTAACAGGTCGGGCTTCTTGTGAAGAACCCGGTCGGGCTCCGACCGGGAGTTGCCCGAGCGACAGTGTCGACCACCGAGCGGTGGCCCTTTGGCGAGAGAGCTGACAAAGGACACGTGGCGGCTCTTTACGACGACAGACAGGGCACCCGGGAGGATGACACGTAGTGGCTACGTGGAGAGCATGCCGAACGACCGGATTTTTGTCTCCGGCGAAGCGGCTATAAATACCCACAGTAGCTACAGTGTGGGGGACTTTTGGACGATCGATAGGTTGTTGTTAGAGAATCCCGACCGCAGTCAGTCAGTACTCAGAACAACCAAGTAGATTGTACTTAGGACCTTCACCGTGATCAATAAA